GGGTGAAGGGAGGGCAGGGACAGGGGAAAAAATGAGAATCAAGACCTATTATGTAAAGGTACAGAATCCCAATGATGAATGTAACTGTATTGTATACCTAGATTGTACCAATAAACTCAATAAAAAGAAGAAAAAAAAAACAAATTTAGGCATTTGTGTTGACTGTTAAAAATGCAAAATCTCTGATCCAGCAATTATACTTGTGACTATAAGGTTGTAATTTATAGTGTGCATGATAAATGATATCTCCACAGTTAATAGCAAAAACTAGGGAAATGCAGTAAAACTTTGGGCTGAGAGTAATGTGTTCCTCAACTGTTCCAAAAGATGAGCAAATATTTCTATTCATAAATGAGCAATGTCTTGTAATACAACTTTTAGGATGATGTCAAACATCAGATAATCATTACTAAACCAGTGGGTGGGATTATGGGTGATCGTCTCCCAACAGCCAGAGGTAATGGAGGAAATCTCATCTACAGAGGAGGAGGAAGAGAAAAAGACAGAAGAATGCCTTACTTCAAATAAGATTAGGGAGATGTGCAAAACATGGGAAATTTTCATAGAAATGTGTAAATTTTGTAGAAAAGCACCACCTGATCAACGCAAGTTATGAATATGTTTAATGACAATGTAACATCACATTTCTGCAAAACTCTTCAAAGGAGGAAAAAGCAAGTGTCACTGGACAGGGTCCTTGTTAAAATTGCACAAAAAGAAAAAGATTCCGTTAAGCCAATAGACATCGGTGATCCTATTAGTGACAGTGAAAGTCATCCTACACAATAATCCTCTTCTCTTATCTCTCTCACACCAGCCACAAATATTTTCAAAGGTAAACGCAACTTAATTTGTTTATTTTTCTCATATTTTGCATTTTCTTTGTCATCTTATATTACAGTATTGTAATCACTTTTATATGAATATTTTTGGGTTGTAATACAAATCATCTGAGTTTCCATTGTTTCTTATGGGGAAATTTGCTTCAGTATACAAGTATTTGGGGTTATAAGCATGTTTCCAGAACAAAGTATACTCTCAAACCAAGGTTTTGCTCTATTCTACAAAACAGTCATTATTAAGTGTGGTGTTGTCACTTGACAGAATACCCTGAGGCCATTAACAAGTGGCTGCAGAAACAGGTTTACATACATAGAGAAAACCTAGACACAAATCAGCACAAAATATGACCCCATTTCTGTGGAAAAATATATTTGTGAAACACATGCACCCATCAAAGTTCTGGGGAGGAATCCAGTCACTCTGAGGTCATCTCAGAGTGGAGTGAGATGGAAACAAAGATAGCAGAACGGCACAAAGTTAAGACTCAGTGTGGGATACACCTGGGTGTGAATCTTCACTCTACCACTGTAGCAACTTAATACACTTTCCTCATCCGCAAAAAGGGGATAATGTTCCTTCTCAGGTGAGATGATGTTAACATGGTACATAGCACACTATCTGGTACAAATGAATTCTACATAACAGATTTGTAAAATTTTTATCTATTAATTCTATCTATTAATTCAATTTATACAATGAATATTTCTTACTTTTATAATAAAAATCACTTCAACAAATGTAAACAAATACAGAATTCCAATATACTACTATGCATCACATACAGACAGGAGATACGTGCTGAGAAGCAAGTCACTAGCAGATTTTTGTCTCCTCACAAAGACCACTTTGTGTTCTTACCTAAACTGAGACAGCTACGACATCATGAAGTGGTGCAATCTTTCAGGATTGCTTCCGATTCTGCAGTCCCTCACTAATGGAAACCACTACACAGCACATGATTGTATATGCTTAAGTATGTAATTAGAATGGAGGTATAGTGATGTCCACAGTTTAATCTGAGATGGATCAAAAATGATCAAGATATGTTAGGTGCACATACAATTCCCAAAAATGTGTGTCACTATTATGTATTGAAACTGTACATTATTTTTAAAATGCATTTAAAAATAAGATCGATTGATTGTGAGCCTACAGATGTTTACTGCAAAATTCCTTGAAGTTTGTTGTATGCTCGGAAAATATTTATTTATTTATTTTCTCATTGAGTTTATTGGTACATTTTAGGTATACAGTACAGTTACATTCATCACTGGGATCTTGTACCTTTACACGACAGGTCTTGGTCCTCACTGAAAATATTTATCATAAAATGTTGGGTAAAAGTGTATCTTTTTAAACCTATAAATCACAAATACATTTCCTGTATAGATAAGATAGCAATAGATTTAAGAAAACAGTTTTTCTTTACGTATTTTTTTTATCATTACTTAAAATTTCGAGACTTCATGGCAAGAGATAAAATACTTTGTTTAAAATATTTTATTTTTAAGTTAAATTAAAATATGACTGGGAGCCTGTAAATACCACACCAGCCAGAGCCTTACTATCAATTGTCGTCTGGGCTCCAAGGCCATTCACTTCAGCCCCTGCCATCTTTGGTGAACTGCCACTGTCATGCTTGGGATCCCAAATGCTCAATGTGTTGAAGGATTGATTGTGGATGATGGCCTTTTGGAAGGTAATTGGATAGGAAGGGCTTTAACTTCATCAGTAGATTAATCCCCCTATGAGATCACAATTTGATGCCATTATTTAGAAGTGATGAAAACCTCGAGGCCTACTGGGTCATAAGTGTGTAGCTATGAGGACTCCATCATGTCTAAGGCCCCTTCCTTTTGGGATCTGCCCCCCAATGCCACCAGCTGTCGTGAAGTGACTGACTTTCCTCTGCCAAACATTTCTGTCACTATGATGCTTCTGCCTTTATAGAAAGCTGACTAATGCAGCCACCATTTACAATTGAGGCCATTTTCTGAACACCACTACAAGCCCAAGGTAAAGATAAAAATCTACCTAAGATTCCTAAGCCACTGAATATGCCTGACCACAATTCCTATTCACATTTGTACACAGAACATGACGTAAACAAATGAAACAGAAGCAACAAACTTGTATCCATGTAATCTGAGTAACGGGTTGTGTGAAGTAGCTTTTTATTTCTGGAATGAAATACCTGACATAGACAATTTAAAGAAAGAAAGGTTATTTTGGCTTAAAACTTCAGACCATGGTCCCTTTGCTCTGTTGCTTCTGGGCTTGTGATGTGGCAGAACCATCACGATGTAGAGCATTTGATGGAGATCTGCTCACTTTAGAACAGCCGGGAACAAATAAGAACATGGGCTGCTGACTTTTTCCTCTTTTCCTTCTAGCCCATTCAGGTCAGGACACATTGGATGCTGCCATGTATATTCAGAAAAAGTCCTCCCTTCTCAGTTTGCTGTGCTACGTTCCAGTCATCTCTCTAGAAACATACTAAAAACAACAAAACAAAACAAAACAAAAAAACCTAGAAACACCCAGAAATGTGCTTTACTAATCTCTTAGGCATCCCTTTATCTAGTCAAATGCACAATCAAGATTCACCATCAGAGATTATATCGACCACTCAGAAACAGGATGGATCCTAGCCCAAATTTCCAAGTAAAATCTCATTAACACTTTTCATTTTCCTACTTTCTCTTTATGAAACTCCCATTGGTTAGGATACTGGGTATAGTTACATTAAGCCTCTAATTGTCTTAACTGTTCTCTCTTAATGTCTATTCCTTTACTAATAGTTTCTTATTTCTGGGTACTTTGCTTAACTTATTCTTCCAAACCAGGGTGAGCAACTTAAATTTCAAATATAATTTTTAACTTCTAAGTGCTCTTTGCCCTGACTAGGCTTGTTTTATTGCTTTACATTATTCTATTTTACTGAAGATATTTACTAAAAATAATTTGAAGTCTTTTTCAATTGTCTGCATTGTCTCTGTTACCTATCAGTATATTTACTTAGTATTACTTTAATTTAGTCAGGTCTACCTTTCACTTTGAAGGCTTTACTTATTTAAGCAATGCACTAAAATGCTGATTCCCAGCCCTGCTATATACACAGGTGCCTTAGTTCATTTTGTGAAATCTATCCTCTTGCAATTCTAGTGGCTGGGAAAGCCAAGATCAAGGTGCTGGTATCTGGTGTGGGCCATCTCACTTTTTCCTCAAGTGGCATAAGGTGAAAAGGCAAAAAAGAACCAACACTCTCTGGGGCCTCTAAGGTGATGTTAATCACCTCTTAAAGGTCCCACTTCTTTAATATTACCACATTAGCTGATATGGTTTATATCTAGATGTGTCCCGCACCCCCAGACCTGTGGTCTCATGCTCAGAGGGGGAGGCTTGTGGAAGCTGATTAGATTATGAGACTGCTACAACTTCCTTGGTATTGGGAGATGGAGCTTAGTAGGAAAAGGGATCACTGGGCACATGGTGTAGAAGGGTATACTTCCCTCCCTGGATCCTCTTTTTGCTGTCTAATTTTTTGGTGCTATGTGAGCAGCTTTTCCTCTGCTATGCCCCTTTGCCATGCCTTCCTGCTTTAGAGTCAGCCAACTATGCACTGAAAGCATGGACCAAAGTAAATCTCTTCTCCTTTAAGTTGTGGTTGTCAAGTATTGTATCATATGACAAGAAAGTGACCAAGCTATTAGGAGTTTTGAAGGGGAAACTTTCAAATTCCAGCAGACATCTTTGACAAATAATGAATCTCACTGTGGAATGTCAGGTGTGGATAGCTCTTTTATTTGTAGGACTTTATTTGCAGGTCTGATCAATTCCTGAGTTTCCTAGCAAAAGAAGTTTTCAATCTCCCCCTGCGGCTCAGAGCCTGGCTGTTGTTATGCTCAACTTAGCCGATGGAAAGACTCCATGTGAACTATGCAGTTTCTTGTATTTCTATTTTCTATGCAGCACCCAATCACTGCCTGTCTCTGTGCTTCGTGTATCTACAACTCCATAGGCTGCTTCCACAATTTCTTCCAAGAAATAGATCACTTAACTCCTTGTACACAGGAGAGAAAGTTATCTAACTTCTCAGAATGGAGGTGAGGGTTGGAGTCCAATTGCTCCTTAAACAAATACTTCCTTTGTTTTTCAGCCTCCTGACTCTCTTCTCATGCACCAGGGTGCCTCATGTTTCCAATTTCTATGAATTCCTGGAATTTGACCAGGTAACCTCCTCCACTACAAATAAACACTTTTAAATTTGACCTTCCTTTGATCTGCAAAATGGCTTGATGTTCAGTCACCCACTTTCCATTTTCCTGTGTTATAGACTGTAGTTTCAGATGCTTCCTGGCTCGATCAAAGATAAAGGGGACACCTGCAATTTTGGCGCTGTTATTATTATTCTTGTTTTGTGGTATTTCTGAAAGGATAATTGGCAGAGAGCATTTGTTTTGCAGTCCATCTCCTAAGTGATAGAGCATCTTCTTAATATAGGAGAGATTCCTGTTTGTTTCCCTAAGTGAAGATAGAAATTGATTCTCTTCTAATTGGAGACAGCCTATTGTATTTATATTTCTTAGTGTTCTAAGCATGATTTCTTACTAAAATGACATATTATTTCCTTATTTAGCTATCAATTCCATACAAAGTCAGAAAAGCTGTTAGGAAACACTGTTGTTCTCTCCCTCCCTCCCTCCCCCCACCCTCTCTTGAGGTTCTTCTGACCCTTTGAGCTAACTCCATTATATCAATGAGAGAGAAACTGAAACACAATACAATGCTCAAAATGTTAAAGAGAATTATACCATGAGAAGCTAAAATCTGTATGAATGGCTATGGGATTTGAATCAAAGTTTTTTTTTTTTTTTTTTTTTTTTTTTTTTCTTTTTCAAACACTAACAGCAATGAAGAAAATAAGAAGGAAACAGACACCAAATTTTATAGGAGAGTTCATTTCTTCACAGTATCATCTGTATTCTAAGAGTAAGATCATACAGCCCTCTCCTGGGGTAACATAAGCCTCTGTTTGATGTAACTAACTCTCAAACAGGCCCTGCCACCACCATCCATTTAGCTGAACTCAAGCTCACATCTCTTCTCACTTGGCTTCCATGTATCTGAACAACCTCCCAGTCTTCCTCCATCAGAGAAGTTCCCCACATTGCAGGTGCTGGTCAGAGGCTGAGTTGTCCCACTATTAGTGACTGAGTCTGTCAGAGTCTTACTTTCCCAAGCCAATCTTTGGGAGTGAGGGGAGGGGAGTATTGGCACCTGACAAAATCAGATTCACCTGCTCCAGCTAACATGAAGGAGCAAGGATCTTAGAGGGAAGGAAAGCCCACTTGTATAGTATTGGCAGCTTTGGCACACACTGGCTCCTAGGGTAACAGTAGTATCCGTAGCATGTAGAGCTTTCTCCCAGCAGGGTCCACTGTGGCAGCCTAGGTACAGCCCCTAGCATTCTGTAGCTGCGGTGACAACAGTCTTTATTGTGCCTCTGAGTCAGAGTCAGTCCTCCAGACTTCTGGCATTCATAACCCACTCTACTTTCAATAATTCTTCTTTCTGCTTAAGTCATTTGAAACTAAGAACCTGACTGATACATACAGGTTTTATATTTTGATGACCAAAATCAATGAGAACTACAGGTGTAAATCTTGACCTATAAAATGACAAAAAAATACTATAGGTGGGTAAGAATATGTAGCTACTCTAACACTATAGGTAAGAGGTATTTTGTTTGATACTCATGAGTTTTTCTGAGTTTGAATAATATTATTCTGTGTTTTTAGCATCCTGTTCCCCCCAAAAAGCTGCCATATTCTTCAACCTGGAAGATTCAGAGACCAAGACTCAAGGTTCTCATTGGCCGCAATAGAACCTGGGACATGTGAACCCCCCAGATGAGCAAGCCAGGTATCCCTATCTGTCATCATGACTACCTAAGGCCATGCCATTCTTTATACACCAGTATGTTTAAGGAGTTCCTCTGGGTCTATACACCTGAATTTAAACTGTGTATTCAGGCCAAATAAAGACAGAAGATGCACAGAGGAAGTTAATAGCTGCAGGAAACCTATGTGAGCAGTCTTTTCATTAAACAAAACTCACGAGTGCCTGTGTCCTTTTAATACTTTTAGTAGGTGTCTCCAGGCAGTCATTTTAAGTGTCATTTTTATAAATAAAGCTAGTTTAATTTAAGTAAATTCTTAAGATAATTTTATTTTCTACTCTGGTTTTAAATAAGCAACTCAAAGAAAAGAGAAGCAAGAAAGAAATCTTTGCAGTAATAAACAAACAGTTATTTTATAGGAGAAATTAAGTAAAATATTATCAACTCAATACTATATGACAATTGCTTCTGAAGGCTGATGTCATGGGTGATATCACATTAGGTGCTGAAGACTACATAGAGATGAATAGGACTTCAATCTTGTCTTTACTTTAAAGTGATAATCTATAAGAGAGGTACAAAAAAGTGGAAGAAGTATGTGAAAACAAGAAGGTACCCAAGTATCATAAAAGGTACAATGTGCTAAACCAAAGACATGTAGCAGGAATATTTTTCATTTGGTTTTCCTTATCTCTGTTTTTATTCACAGTTTTGCTGTCCTGTGACTCTCCACACACAGAGACTGAGGTGCTCATTGTCTTCAGGGAGAGAGCAGATCTTCCAAGAATAATGGAGTCAAAACCACGCAATTATTTTCTCAATTTAGAGGGTTGACAAGAGACATGAAATCCCCCAACTTTCAAATGTAAGGGCTGGATATTTAAAAGAGAAAGTTGTTTTCTCAGAAATCTCAAAGATGGGCTTTGAAATACCAACTCACTGAGCATAAAAAACTGAACTATAGAATTCTAAGTATAAACATAGAGTAGGGAGATGTGGAATAGGAAAAATGTGTAGAGATTTGAGGTAAGCCCATTCTTACCTGGAGCAGTACGCTTAGAAAGGGAGAGAAGAGACAGAGTTGAGATAATTCTGACTTTGGTAGCTCTGGGACTAAAAACCTTCTGTGGGAGAAAACAAAACCCAGGTAGGTCAAGAATGCAGAGGCTGGAGTACCATTTCTCTTTAGAAAGTCTTGAAAGGGATCACCTGATAAGTAAATTGAACCACCTGTGCCAGGGTAGAACTGTTTAATCTGAAAGTATCTTAAATAGATCCTTACTTTCCACTTCAGCACAAAAGTGAAAACAATCCAAATATTCCACTATAGTCCTGTCAGAGCAACAAGGAAGACAATGGAGAATGGAGAATATCAGTTTGTGTAATAACTAGCTGTTTCCATTTCTGGGAAAATATTTGACACTCACATTTTAAAAGAGGAGAGACTTCTTTTGGTTCACAGTTTTAGAGATTTCAATCCATGGCTGACCTGGCTCCAAGGACAAATCATCATGGCAAAGGATACGGTGGAGCAAAGCTGATCGCCTCATGGCAGCCAGAAGTGGAGAGCAAGAGGAAAGGCAGAGATGAAGAAGCCAGGGACCATATATAGTCCCCAAGGTCACATTGTATTACCTACTCCATCCAACTAGCCCCACTTCCTCCACTAGCCCCCACTTCCTGCTCTAGGCCCCACTTCCTAACAGCCCATTCAGCTGTGATCTCATCAGTGAGGTTAGTGCTCTTTCAATCCAAACATCTCCCCAGGAGTCTCTTAATTCAGTCAAATTGACAATCAAGATTAACTTGCACAGTGTGTAAAGAGTTCTCATACCTTTAGCATTTTGGAAAAATGCTACGGTATAGTGAAATGTGACCCCGAGCCTAGGCTGTGAGGCAAACAACTCAAACCAGGAGGCAGAGGAGGAACATAGAAGGAGCACAGAGTGTGAACCTCAGTCGACAGATTTTAAGTCCAAATTTCACTAGTGACTGAGCAGACTTGAAGTAGACAGATCAAACATTTTCTAGACTGAATTGGTAGCAGATGGGTAAGTTAGATAATTTATCGGAAATGATTTATATTTTCCCAATAGTGTATACATTGTACCTACAACAAAGATGGACACACCAAGTGTGGGGACACTGAAGGAAGTAAAAATCATATTACATTGGGGAACAGAGGGATCAGCCCACTATCACACACTTTTACTCCCTTTAAAGTGAAATTATGGAATTTTGACAAATAGAAATGAGGCAGAGACATTTCAGACAGCAGAAAAGGGTCAGCTAAGGTCCAGGAAATGGGAGGAGTTGGAAAAGCTTGAGGAAATAAACAATGGTCCAGTTTGGCTAGAATCTAAGGACATCTTATAAAACTCTACACCTGCTCTGCTAGATTCCTGTGCTTTGTATCCAAGTGATGAGAAAAAAATTTGTAAACCTCTACAGGATAAAGCACATACTAAGTTAAGTGAACCTAAAGACTTAATGTGCATCCCTTAGAAACTCTGTTATCTCTATCTCTGTTCCTTACTTCAAATGCAGTAGGTAAGTTTGCTACCACATGATGCCTCTGAATGCTCTATATTCAGACTTAACCTGGAAAGAGAAGAGGTCTAACATCAATATTTTGTCCTTTCTTTCGATGCTAGGAAAACTTTCCCCATTCTGCCTGACCCTATTCCTTAAGTGGAAGCGTACCTAATAAATGGAAGATGGTGATTCAGTAGAATTTACGCACTCTTTATGTTGACAAATCTTCAAATGTGATCTGAATGTACAAAAATTGATCTCCTTGTTTCTCTCACTTTCTTTATTTCTCATCTCTTCATATCTATTTAGAACAATATCTAGTATATATCTGATACAGCAATAAATATTTGTTCAATGAATAAAGAAATTGTCAGGTATATCTATTCATTTCTCAAACTTGATTATACAGAAGAGTCACCTTAAACTCATCAAATGTAGATAACTGAGCTCCACTCAAGAATTTCTAATTCAGTAGCTGTGAGTTGGGTGCTGAGTCTCTACATACCTAACCACTACCCAGGTAATCCCAGTGCTACTGGGTCAGCAGGTTCAATTTGAGAATCAGTGCCTCATTTACATGGAAATTCCCTGAACACTGAAACATAACCCAATACATAAGTTTTGCCTATTAGTCTCCTGGAAGCTTTTCAGAAAAGATGTTTGCCTGACTTATTATATCCACTATGTGTAAGAAAAACTTAATAAAGTGTGAATCATCATTTTCTGTTCAAAGTTTGATCTTTCAATGATACAATAACATTTTTAAATCCATAAAATTTATATTATTTTGTCCCAAACTGGTCTCCTTTAAAATCACAATGAAACAAAACTCAAACTACCCCTCCTGAAGTGATTGAGAATTAGATAAAGAAGACTATGTTTCTGTCTATTACCTGGAGGAGCAGCCACTTAAAGAATTTATGACTGCCTGTTATCTTTTAACCCTTATAATAGAAAAGAAAAACATCATTTTTACATTCTGCCAACTATCCCTAAAGGAGAATATTTTTTGCTTGTTTTCTAGGCACTTTCTAAGAAGACCAGAATTGCTTAATTAGAAAAATCTATAAAAGAATTTCTTAAACTTTTGAACACTGAACTTAACATTCATGGTGCATTGTAGCTTTCCTTGGAGAGATTATTCTTGGCCTTCCTTAATTTATAGTTCTGATTCTATTAGTTACTTGTCACATCTAAAATTTTGTTTGATTACCATAAATTTTTTAAAAACTTTGCAGTGGTGGGTATTCTGTTTTCATATGGACCCACACTACTCAGAAGTTTAAACAGTCTAAATCCTAGTTCCTAGAAGCTGCCACAGAACCACAATGCCTAATTCAATATACCTTATGGAGTTCACAAGAATGATGTTTTACCTACAATGGCGTGCCTTTTTCCCTCTCTCTGAGCCAGACTACATGTGAAGTTCTCAATACAATATCAGACACAACTCTGAACTACAGAGACCTTCAATCTTATCCACAAGTCTGAACTTTTGGTATAATTTTATGGTGCACATAATGTTGTCCATAAGGGCAGAAACTATCATTCAGTCTGATGAAGTGTTTCACAATCTAACCTTTTAAATAAAAACCTGATTTATCAAAAGACTGACATTTATTAAATTTAGCATAACTCCTCCTGGAACTTAGACCTCAGTTTTAGATTTATTTTAGTTGTATATTTCATAAGAAAAATTAAGCATTTCCACATGTATTATTATTAGTAGTAGTAATATTTTGTTATTTGCCATTACAGGTTGTACTTTGCATAATGATTGCTCCCTACTGCCCCACTGCTCTATGCTTATATATAATTTGGCACATGAGAGAATTTTAAATTGTTCTGTCAAAAAGCTCTTTTGCTGAGATGCAGGCAGGCATAGATATCAAAGCTTTTTACATCAATAGTGAAAAATTGATTAAAATCAATTTTAGGAAATGAAAACATTTTTTTACACATAATCCAGTAGAAATTCTTAACTTTGTTCCTGAGTAAATGGAAGCTAGCAAAAGTTAAACAGATCGAGAGAGGGAATAGGTACAGAATTTGGGATTAAGAGTAGAAAGCATCAGGACAGATGAGAGTCAAGATACATGTAATCAGTTATTGTAGGATGTCCCCTTAACACCCCATGTATTGACAACTAATGCTCTTGGAAGCTGATTGGATCGTGGGTGCATGATACTCATCAGTGATTAACCCACTGATGAGTTTATAGCTAAATGTAACATTGGGAGGTGAAGTCTGGTAGGAGGAGGTGGGTTATGGGATGTGGCCTGCAAGAGTTTATTGCTAACCCACTCTTCCTTTCACCGTCTCTCCTTTTCCTGACTGCCATGCTGTAAGCAAGCCTCCTTTGTCATGCCAACCTGACTGGGAGCTGGCCAACTCTAAACTGAAACCTCCACAAATTGTGAATTAAAATAAACCTTCCCTCCTTTAATTTGTGGGTGTTGTGTATTGTGTCTCAGCAACAGGAATGTAACTAAGACAATATATAAAGTATATATTAGCAAGAAAATAGCAAAAGCAAGAATGGTTGACTAGAGTTGCAAGTTTTGCAAGCAAGAATAGAGGACAAGTGGAAGAGTCAAGAAAGTAAGGTTACCAGGTAACCTGAGGGCAGCGAAGCGGAGGCAAAGATGGAACTGGCTAAACTAGGTAAAAGGCAAGAAATCCTCAAACAAGAGTGAGAATCAGAACCAGCAGCCAATGATATGTTTGTAAAACTAATGCAGATGCAAGGATATGAGAAGGAAGCAAAATAGGCAATCCATTTTCACTCTCCTAATGAGCCTTATTTATTTTGGCCAAAAACTTCCCAGGATAGAACACAGCAGCCTCCATAGCAACTTTGAAGAAACTGCTGGTATGCACACTGGCTATTAACTACTAAATGAGTGCATAGCTTTCATTTTCTTTGGCCAGTTGTTTCCCATTGTATGGGTAAATGGTCTGAGATATGAATCTGAATTCATCGTCAAGTGAAAGAAATACCCAAAAAAGCCTATGAACTGTATTTCTGTTACTATCATTCTAGCAGCAATTCTCTTCAGAAAATCATTGATTGTCTGTGATACTTTCTTGTTGGAAGAAAATACCTGACATGCATAAGTTAAAGGAGGAAAGGTTTATTTTAGTTCATAGTTCATAGAGATTTCAGTCCATAGTTGGCTGGCTCCAGGGTAGGGCAATGTGGCAGGGGAGCATGGCAGAGGGGCAAAACAGAAAAAACAGGTCATGACAAGGCAGGCAGCAAAGAAGCAGCAAGCCTCCCCTTCCCTTTTTATTCCATTCAGACTACAAGCCTATCAGTTTGTGCTGCCTACACCAAGGTGGAGCTTCCCTCTTCAGTAATCCCATCACCCACAAGTATGCTAAATCAATCAGTTATCACATGTCCACAACCCACTATCACTCATGAATGATACAGCCACTTCCAAAAGCCCACCTATGAGTGTAGGAGGCTTTGGGAGGACAACTACATGTACATACATTAATATATTAGGAAATCCAATCAATAAGTGTTTAGAGCCCTTTCTACATAAAATTTTGAATGCTTTGGGCAAGCCACTAATCTAGATATAGAAAAACTCACCAGATGCCTTGTGAGACATATTTGCCTATTATCAGAATGTTGAATTCAACTCATCAGTGGCCTTCATTCCTGATAGCATACTAGAATTATATGGGAAAGTTCTGATATAAATTCTAACTAATCTGAGGTAGAGCATGAGCATCAGAATGTCTTACCACCTCCCCAGAAGACTGTAAGTATTGAGGACTATTGTACTGTTCTGTGGAAGAGACTCAGTGCAGAAAGGACAACTCTAAATACCACAATATGAAAATATGTTTTAAGATATTTAAGATTTGCCAAGACCTCATGTAACATTTCTTCGTCTTTTTTTATGTAAAAGAAGATTGGCTAATCTCAATAACATGTAGTCACCTCCTGAGGTCACTATGACTCTTTTTCTTTCAAGAAAAAAAAAAAGAGAGTCTTGCTTAATCATGCTTGCTTAATTTGTGACTATGTCCAACAAGTTTAAATTGCTCTGTGGGCTGTGTTTGATGGGTCTCAATCCATTAGAAGTTATACAATTTGATTTATCCTTTTGGTTTTTGAGTAGGTAGCCAATGCTTTGAAGTGACAGAAAGGGGGAAATTACTATATTTCAAATAGAGATCTAAAGTAGTGGGATGGTTTAACCAAGGCAATTTTTAAAAAGCAAAGAAATGATTTCAGATCTTAGAGAAATAGATATGATATCAAAAGAATGTTTTCCAAAACCCAATATTAGAAAGTGGAGATAAATACACAAACTTTTAACATCTGAAGAAAACCATCTTGATACAGGAATAGTGGAAATAACTGGTTAACAAAGAAACATAGGTATACAAGCACAGCTAGAAACTCAAGTATATTAGGGATTCTGTGTGCATATTAATTTATTGATGAATATTAGTCACAACCTATAAGTTTAAATAGAAATGAAAATCCTATTGAATGTTAGATAAGAGTAAATCTTATAGTATGAAACATTATAGGCATATGAGAACAGCAGTAGCATAATAGCATAAATATTATCCATTTTGACCTCTAAATTAAATTGTCACTCAGTCCGAGACTATATAATATAAAGAGATAATATTCAAAATTTTCTCAGGGTCTTATTCAAAACCCACTTTCTAATTAAAAAAAAAATTTCTTTCTTGATTGATATCAAAATC